TGATGCACCTTTTCTTTACATAAAACTCTCTCTTATACATGAGTCGCCATGGATTTGTTTCTCCAAAGTACCTAGACTAATACATTAACAAACTTTCTATTTTACAGAAAAGCGAATTCAGATATCCAAATGGATACCATCAAGGGTTGGTTATCAAAGAATGTGTCATGGATTAAATTGCTTCCCCCTAAAACTGTGGGTCAACTTGGTTAGGTCATGTTTTCCAGTGGTTTGGCAGGTGTGTAATATGATGTTATGTAGTAATGCAGTCACCCCCCATTTTGGGCATTTATACAACTTCATCCTGATAGCAACTATGAGCAGCCAATCAGTTTAAAGGGCATTTCAGAGATGTGGTCCACATCATCTTTATCTTACACGAGATGAAAGGAGATAGAAGCTAACAGAGGAGAATGACCCATAACAACAAAGAAAGAAGACCAGGCAGCACAGCTCACCCTTTGGGCCTGAGTCCTTGTGCTGGGTACCCCCTAGGCCCAGGACACAGAGAGAGTAGTCTTCTCCTGGAATCCACACTCTATTTGGTCTCCTAACCTCCAGAACCACAAAGGATAAATCTGTTTGTTGGCTTGTGCACTAGATAACTCAAGACAGTATTTATTCATGTAGAGCAGCGGTTCTCAACCTGTGGGTCGTGACCCCTTTGGAGGTCGAATGACCCTTTCACAGGGGTTGCCCGATTCATAGCAGTAGCAAAGTTACAGTTATGAAGTAGCAATGAAAATAATTTTTTGGTTGGTGGGGTCACCACCACGAGGAACTGTATTAAAGGGTCCCACCATTAGGAAGGTTGAGAACCACTGATGTAGACAGAAAGCCAAGTTGAAATATTCTGAATAGAAATATACAAATTATGTGTCCAATAGCTTCAATGAGATAAATGCTCCCTTCTAAGGCAGCATGCTAGTAAAACAGTACAAATGCTTTACTCCAGAAACCTGCCACTGTCAGAAAACCAACTGAAGGCAGTAAACAGGCAAGTTTCATCATTTTAGTTTATTAGTAGGGTTTTGTTTGGATTTTTTAACAATTGGATTATAAAATGCTCTTCCCACTTGCTCATAAATTTAGTGTATCATGACAGCTCACAGTGGTAGTGTCTCCCATCCGCCCCATCCACCAAAAAAAAAAAAAAAATCACATTGATTCTGTGGGTATTTTAAAAGTTTATTTCTATTTTACCTAGCTCATAGGCCCCAATCTCAAAGAGGGCCGAGCTGATGTCTTTCTAGCACATGGTCTACAGACCCTCCTGTTAACTTTTGTCTTTCCATCCCCTTCCAATAAAGACAGCACCTTCCATCATGATGTACATTTTAAGTTAAAATTGCCAATACAACCCTCAAAATGCAAGTTTATTGAATAAAGCTAAGAGCAGTAAACAGACAAAAAGAAAAACATGAAGGCATCCACTTAAAAAAAATTCACGTATTTACAAAGTTCAGTTAACTGTCAAATTTTCACATGCAGAGATTAACGCAGAGGAAACGGATGGTAATAGTGTTTGGGTGTCTTGAGATGCTGAAAGCAATGAACACACAAACACTTTAAGGTCAATTAGCAAACCTATGCAGATCCCATGTGGTCACACATTCTTGTTCCTATTGCTCCTTGTAGCACAAGCCAAGTTGCCACATTATCTGTAATGGGTCACAGTGACCGTGTTGATTTATAGTAGCAAGCAGAAATAACACTTTGTTTACAGACCCATCCATCCCATTGGGGAAGTAAGATACATGCTTCAAAGAACAAGAAAAAAATTTTTAAAGCTGGGAGTAGTCCCCTCATACAAACGCTGCCTGGAGGAAAACTAGTAGTGCCTGTGTTGCACAGTGCGGCATTTTATACAGACGATTTTTAAGGCCATGGCAGTCTGGAGTTCGTTGAAGAACACACTACCTACTACACGTTGAATGCTTAACCTGTTTAGAAATGAATGTATGATCTACGTGCTGCTTGACAAAAGGACAGAGAATCACCCCCAGGGTGAGGCAACACAGAAGTTGCTTTGGTGGGTGACAGTGCAATGAACCATTTTGTCCCTTTATGTATGTGGAGCTCACTAAGCTACAAAATATTTTTATTCATCTCCATCTGATAGAAGCACACAATGAACAGCCTCAGTCCCTCGATTCTGTGTGGCTGATTTTTAAATAACCTTTAGACATGGTGCGTGATTATGTCAAATAAAGCAGGCAGGTCTAGAGCTGTCACAATAATCAACATAACTAATGGCACCAAATAATCGAGTGCCCGACCTCTACCAGTGAGAGAGAAAAGCAAGGCTCTGTATTTATCTCTAAGTGTCGTCTGTGCTGAAAGTCAACTTTATTTATGATTGGACATAAAACGTCTGAAGTTAGCACGTCATGCAGCAGCACTGGTTAAATGACTAAAGAGGAGCAAGTGTTGGAATAAAGTCTGACAGTCCTAATGGGTTTTATTAAATTGGCTGGAATGCTCTAAAGTCATGAAAGTTTCTAAGAAAATCAGCAATTCCCAACCGCTTAAAAAAGTGTGTTGAACTAAGAAGGAGAAAAAAGACCAAAGTAATGATGTGGACAGATACAAAACAGCATGCCTTGGCTCCTCCCGTATCCTCAACTGCTCTCTGGTGATGAAGACGCTTCAGAGAGTAAAAGGATTTTCAGTATCACCAGCAAAGTTCTCACCAGAGCAAGGAACCAACAAAAACACTGATCTGATGTCTCTGCTCCCACTTCACAGACCATTTTAAATTTCTAAGGTGTAATTATACATGTCACATGCATTTCTGAGATACGATAAACATCATGTTTTCATCCCACACAAATCAGGCCTAAAGGTTTTCTAAGTACTGTGTGTGGCACTAGAAACTTCATGCTGTCTCAGGTCAGTGTCAGTAGTAAGCTACTGCACTCTACAATTAAATATCAGATAGACATTTAATGAAAATCAATATAAAAATCTGGCCCAGAAAGACCAGAGCAGAAATATGCAATCTTCTTGATTTAAGATGGTCAAAGGTGTGTGTGTGTGTGTGCTGACCTTATCACGACAACTCTAGCTGATTCTTTATGAAAGATTAGGGATACACATCTTCAGCAGTGCATATGAGAAATAAACTCTGAAAAAAAGGCAATCTCTTGGGGTAGGAAGGACCGTATTCTGGGAAGTACTTCAGAGGAACGGACGAGAATTCTAGGATTAGAGCCAAGAAGGACTGGAAGACTTCAGAAGGTGCTTCAGCTTCTTCTGGATTTTGAATGTTGAATAAGCCACTGAAGTGTGATATCTAGAGACGGGGAAAGAGGAGGGGGAAATGTCAAAGTGTTAATAAATCAGAGTTAAGAAACACAACATGAAACCAACTGCTATTAGCTAGAAAATGCAACTAGCGTTGAGTTATGCCTCCAGCACTTGGCCTGCCCCAGTGTCTCTGAATCTGCTCTACATGACTCACCCTGAGCTTCAAAGATTTTATGTGAATTTAAAAATTACAATGTCTTGTATTGTCCCTTAGGCATTAAGAAATGTACTGACTGCCAATATGATCAGATATGGTGTGTGAGGGGTCAGGAATGTAAAGAAATGGAGAACCCATTCTACGAGGAATTTTAGTCTAGTATGATACAGTAACCATTTGAGTCTGATGTGAGCAGCCCCACAGAATGCCACGTAAAAGAAACAGCAAAAGCAAAGGAGAAACAAAGGCACATCATGATGTGGAACGCTGGGTGCATCTGGCGAACATAAACTCCCGGCACAGGAATGAGGAAGTGGGCTGTCACAGACTGCCTACACTACAAGTGGGTTTCTACAGTTAGCCCTACTGACACTGGGGTAGGCCAATTGCTATCCTGGGCTCTGGGCGGCATTTTACTACTAGATGCCGGAAGGACCCTCCAATTCCCCACCCCCATTTGGGACTTGATTACCCAAGAAGTCATCCATTGGCAGCATTTCTTGCTCTCCATATAAAAAGGCATTCAAATTTACAAATGGTTTGTTTTGAATCTAGTGAGAGCAGATCCATTTCCTTGGCTGTGTTAATACTTGAAGTGAACTAGGAATTCCAAACTTAATAAAACTGGGGGTGACAGGTCTGGGTGACGTGACCTCTAGCAAGCCCTGAAGCCCAGACTCCAGTAACAGCGTCCTCAGCAGCTCTGACGCATTTCCCACCTAAATGAGCTCACAAGAGTTTGCTCAGGTAGGTGTTGACTACTTTCATTAAGACAGAAAATTTGGAAAAAAAAAAAAAAGACAGAAAATTTGCTGAGGACTTTTTCTGTCTCTGAAAACGTTTTTTCCTTCCTAATTTAAAAAAACATAAGACCCATTAGATAACAGCATGATTCCCCTTGATAACTAAACATAAAACTCAAACTCACTCTCATTGACTTGGTGCCAACTCACAGAGACCTTTTAGGGGGCAGGGTAGAACTGCTCTTGTGGGTTTCTGAAGTTTTAACTGTAGGGGTACAAAGTCTGGGCTTTGTCCTATGAAACAGTCAGTGATTTGGAACTGCTGAGCTTGTAGTTAGCACTCCAACTATTGACATTTTAAGTTGCATTCTTTATTGTGGGGGTTGTATGATGTGCATCTCTGGCCTTTGCCCAATAGATACCAGCATTAGTTCCCTCAATAGAGTAACTAAAAATGTCTCTAAATATTACCAAAGTGTTCTTTGAAAAAGGAGATCCCGGAAGCAACAAAGCCCACATGGAAGAAGCACACCAGCCTGTGTGATCACGAGGTGTCGAAGGGATAAGGTATCAGGCATCAAAGAACAAAAAATCCTATCATTGTGAATGAGGGGGTGTGTGGAGT